TTCAAACATGGGTCCTAGGGCTTGGTCACAAAACACTTCCTCAATGAAGCCATCTCCCCAGACCTTATTTAAGGATCTCTTTACATCCTTAAGATTAACAAAAACCCTGAAAAAAAGAAAGAAAGAAAGAAAGAAAGAAATGCTCTTGGGTAACAAAAGCAGATCTGATTTAAAGAGTTGTTGAGTCTTTTGATGCAAATACCTGTCACAATCCCCATAGCTGAGACAATGAGTGTTTGAAGCAGTATAGCCCCGTCCCTGGGAGGTTGATTGAAACACCACTCAGTGGAGATGGAGTGGCTGGTGCCCTGGTACTGACTGTGGCCAGAGTCAGCCTGTGAATAACTGCATTTGCCACAGGGGACATCAGTTTCTCACTGAAAGGGACTCAGAATATTTGTTCCCTCCTGGACAATGAGCTCAAGGGTCTTTCCTGTCTCCAGCAAGCTGTCTTTGGGAGTGAGGACCTTGCTGTCAAGGGCCTTCTTCTCCTTGCCTGCAAATACATGACTCAGAACAGATGAGATCTGCACAGCCTTGCAGCGTAGGCAGATTCCAGTTTTTCAAGCAAAATCTTAACAATCTAAGAAAAGTCTGAACATAGAAGTGCTTACTGAGGCCAGTGGTTCTCAACCTGTGGGTCATAGCCCCTTTTGGAGGTTGAATGACCCTTTTGAAGGGGTCACATGTCAGATATTTACATTACAATTCATAACAGCATCGGAATTGTAGTTATGAAGTAGTAATAAAAATAATTTTGTGGTTGGGAGTCACCACAGCATGAGGAACTGGAGGAAAGTTTTGCAGTATGGGGAAGATTGAGAATCACTGGTTTAGGTGGAGCAGCTCAGAGGATGCTCAACAGTCACCTTAGCAGCTCCGGGAACATCCATCATTCCATTTGGTCTGAAATCCCCAGATACATAATCCTTGAGTCTCAGGTACCTGTGGTTCTGTGTCTCTCCACCTCCCTGTCCTGTCCTATGACCGCAAACAAATCCCTGAGCTACGTGCTCTCTTGGATTTACTTTGCTTTGAGAGATCTTTTTTCCTCTGGGTTGTCTCAAATTGAAAGGTAGAACACTTTTCTTGCAATGGCTTGGAAAGTCATCATTTAATAATGGAATCAGCCCCCTGTTCCTCAGGGGCTACCAGCTGCTTTTGCTTAACCTAGACAAACAACAACCAAAGGATAATGGCGCTAGGCTAATGCGAGTGAGCTTAAAGCCTTTGGAGAGCAGGAAAGGAGGAGTTACCATGGGACCTTCTCTGCTGCTTGCTCAGACAAGAGCTCTGGAGCTCCTGAGTCATGAGGTCTCTCACAGGGCCACAAGCAGCCTCTCACTAACCTTCCTCTTGACCCACACCTCCACCACCATCTCTTTTTAGCTCAGAAGATTCAAAGTCATACCCTTCTACCACCAGCACCTGTTACCCAGGGCAAGTTAGCGATCACCTGCATAGAAAAATATTAAAGTGTCATTTTGGCACATCTGAAATATAGTGTGTAAACTTAAATTCACTGCATAAACAATAGCAATACCAAGGTGTTGAGAGAGACAGCTAATAAGAGGAAGAGAAGTAAGCATTGAGTAGCGTAGTTAGGACAAGCTTGACTGGAATGATAACATTTAAGATGTGGCTTAAGGATTGATAAGTAACTAATGTTGGGCAGCGGTGCATGCCTTTAGTCCCATAACTCAGGAAGCAGAAGCAGGCAGATCTCTGAGTTCAAGGTCAGCATGTTCTACAGAACAAGTTCCAGCACAGCCAGAGCTACAGAGAAATCCTGTCTGGAATAACAAGACAACAACAACAAAGGAGATTCTAGGCCAAAGGAGCATGCAAAATGGTCCTGGGTAATAGAAAGAGCTTGCCATGGACGATAGTAGACATTAGAACGATGAGGACTAGAGAGGTAAACTTGAAGTGAACATTTAAGTCTTTGTGAGCTGTTACAATGAGTCCAGATGCCCCGCACTAAAGAGGAAAGCCGCTGAAGGACTCCAGGAGAGCAAAGACAAGACACAAGAAATACTTTTAAATATCCCTTTGGTGGTGGGTAGTCACTACTGTCTGGATCAAGGGTAGAGTAGAGGGAGTCAGAACGAAATGGCTATATGTTATGCAAGAGATGATGGTGACATTGAGCAGAGCAGCAGGAAAGAGAGGGGAGGACACATGTAGATTTGCAAGTGCATTGGAAGGGGCATCACCCAAGTTTGCTAACTGCTGATGGATTAGACAAGGGATGAGGGGGGAAGGAAGCATGACATCAGGTTTCTGGCTTGAACAGTGACTGTCATTTCTTAAAAATGAATGATGAATATAGAGGACTTAAAATTTGACTAACTGTAACCTCTTACCTCCCCCTCATCAAGAAATAGATTCTGTGATATCACCCATCATCTCTCGTCACTATATTGGCTAAAGTACAGCAGAAATTATCAAATTGTCACAGACAAGGACCCCCCCTCAATTCTCTGTAGCTCACATTCTCAAGTCCCCAAGTCCCCACTGCTGTGGTAGCTGTGACTGCAAAGCAATGTACATAAAACTTTGGTGGTTGAGAAACTACATTTGAGGCTTGTGAACTCTGAAAGTCAGAAACTTATCGCCAACACAGCAGATAATTCTCATCAGGGGTCTTGGAGATTGAGGGCTAGGCTGACCAAAGTCTATTCTTCACATAGTGGGATAGCTGGACTTTGAATACCTCTAATTCTATTACTATCTAATCTCTTTATACGTTTTCTCCACAGGATAGCTCCAGAGCCACCAGTCACATGCATGTTAATCCCATACTCAAGCTGTGCCTTGGGAAAGGGAACCAGGTCAAACTTGTAACACATTTTATAAACTATCCCTGGAAGTTGTTCAGCATAATTGCATTCATTAGAATCAAGGCACTAAGGCCATTCCAGTTGTGCCATCTTAGACAATGATTTGTAGATGAAAATTCAGTTCTCCTAACTCTGGAAGCTGGGCAGTTGTCTTAGTTAAAGCTTGTATTACTGTGAAGAGACACCATGACCACGGTAACTCATAAAAGAAAACTTTCAATTGGGTGGCTTATGGTTTCAGAGTTTTAGTCCATTATCATAATGGTGGGACATGGAGGCATTCAGGCAGATGTGTGATGCAGAAGGAGCTGAGAGTTCTACATATTGATCTGTAGGCAACAGAAAGTGAACTGTCTCCCACACTGAGCATAGCTTGAGCATAGGAGGCCTCAAAACCCACCCCATAGAGACACACTTCCTCCTACGAGGCCGCACCTACTCCAACAAAGCCACACCCACTAATAGTGCCCCTCCCTATGATCTTATTGGGGCCAATTCCATTCCCACTACCACAGCAGTCTAAGATCAAGGTTCTGCAGACACCAGCTCTTCATACTCATCCCTGAGGATTATATTTCAACATGAACCTTGGAGAAGTCACAAACATTTAAACCCCATTCAAACCATTGATTCCTATAGTTTGTAAAAATATAGCTATCACTAGGTAAGATGTTTAATGAACTTAATTTTGCCGTGTTGAAGACTGGGCATTTATACCTAGCCTTTCCCACCAAATTACCAGAGATGGGAACTTCTCTACATCCAGAATAGTCTATCCGATGGTTATCCTCTAATCCAATGTACTTCCCACCTCCAAAGGCCCTTGGAAAAGATGGATCACCCACCTGAATCTCATCCAGTAGGATGTAATAACTTGATGGTTGTGTTAAGTCACTGAATTTTTGAATAGTTTGTTTCGGAGTGATGGTAGTTAACCATAGTACTAGGGAGAGTTAGGTGTTTTTGGAGACAAAGGATGTTTGGTGAGAGTAAAAACTCATTAAGCTGGAAAGAAACGAAGACAACCAGGTGACTAGAGAAGCCACACTGGAGTGAGTCGTATGGAGCTGTTGAAAGAAAACAATGGGTATTGCTGCATTTCTGGGCTCAGACTGGGGACATTAGAAACACCGAGTCACACACTCTACAGGCATGACTGTGTCTACACAGTTGCTCAGCACTGGAGTGAGTCGTATGGAGCTGTTGAAAGGAAACAGTGGGTATTGCTGCATTTCTGGGCTCAGACTGGGGACATTAGAAACACCGAGTCACACACTCTACAGGCATGACTATGTCTACACAGTTGCTCAGCACTGGTGGGTGCAGCTGCAGGGGGCAGGGTGGTTAGTTCTCTGAGCCTTGATCCCTTCATAGATGATGAAGAAGTCTTAGCACACATGAATCAGGACTCCTGTAGGAAACAGTATCCTGCTCCTGTTCTCCACCTTCTCATGATGGCATAAAAAACTTCAAAACTAAAGCTTAACCAAACATGGAGCCCTCGTTATTGGTATTAATGAAATGGAACACATGGGCTCTTTTTTATATTATACTTGTACAAATAATCCCTTTGAGAGACAAAGTCCTAAATAAAATGCAATTCTAAATAAAATTGAAAACATCCCAGGCTCAGATGACTTCGTTTTGCACAAATAACTAAGAAGCCCAGGTTTTATTTCTTCTTTTTACTCAAAATATTGAGGAAAACAATAAATCCCCTTTCTTTCACTTTTCTTCCTGAGCCATATTTACCAGGACTTTTTTTTTTCGTCTGCAATTTACAAATGTGAAAAGCTGCCCCACCATGCTCCCCACCAGAGACTTTGTTCAGGAACAAGAAGGAAGCTGGGCCTGCTGTGTCCTCCTTCTGTTCCTGTCTTCTTTCTCCCACACCGGCAGCACAAAGAGAAGGAAAATCACATATGGAGAAAATCCTTGAATGCAAAACAGAAAACAGACGTACAGAAACCGAGACTAGGGTCACTGGCCCTCCCAAACCGGGTCTTACAGGGAGAGAGAGCATTGAGGGAGATGCCTTATTGAAACTTACTCTTGTTTCTGGGGTACCAGAAATTAATATCAGTTCCCCCTGCTCTGGTTCCCCACGACTCTAAAAAAGATACCTCTTGTGAAAAAAAATGAGACAGTAAGACATAATCATTTTTGTAAGGTAAGTTACACATTATAATGCATTATGGGTATTTGGGGCAAAGGCAGATTTGGTGGGTGGGCAGCGGTGGAGATATATGCAGATTGCACACGCTGTGTTAATCCTCCAGGACCCAAGGGATGCCCTTCTTCCTGGGGGAGAATCACAAAGGCTGTCTGAAATCACTTGGAGGCTTTTACACAGCTGGAAGAGGACAGTTTGCAGCCCAGGAATGGTGTTTGCAGGGGTTTGTCCTGGCCCCACAGTCTTGGGGTTACCTGGAGTCTTTCTTTTGCTGTTGAGGAAGGAGGCGGTGAGGCGGCCCGGTGAACACTGCATGACAGTCAAACCAGAAGTGGAGGGAGGCGCCAGCTGGAGCTGGGCAAACCCGGTCTGAACTACAGAGAGGGCCACTTGCAAATGAGCTCGTCCCTAGCATGGTGCCTGTCACCTCACCGCACCCCACTGCTAGGGCCTTTTTGAAGTAAGACAGATATATCTCCCAGCAGCCAGGCAGAGAGGATCTGAAGGTATAAAGGCTTAGTGACAAAGCACAGAGTTGCTAGTTGTCCCCACTGCTTCTGGAAAATGGAGGGTAAGAGGTGTAAGGAAAGAGACAACCCGAGCTTTCAAGGCCCACCAGGACGCTGATGCTCCTACACCCACGGTTCACCGAGGCTCGCAGGCACAAAGATTAAAGACCTTGGAGCTGATGCCTGCAAGGCTTCTCTTACCCAGCATCAAAGTCCCACCCTCTAACCCCTCCTGGGACAGCACTGTTGGTGTCCTTTCCCCCAGGGGGACATTACCCTGCTGAGTCTTCCACCCCAGACTCAGAGACAACTGGGGAACTTGCTCTGCCACCTGCCGTGATGTCCCCCAGTATCTGAAGGTGATATCTCAGACTCTCTTAGTCACCCTCCCCCCAGATTGCCTTCTTCTTCTCCGGGTGGCCGACATTTTGGACTACACAGTTGCTCTAAGGCCTGGGCTGTAGGTAGATCTAAGTATACCCTGCATCACTATCACATAGAAGTCTCATCCTTCAGGGTCTGCAGGCTGGAATGTCACCTGGTAACCTGGCCGCCCTCAAGTTCTGCCTCTGTAGGCAAGCATGACCCCTTCTTTAAGCCCTCATTGGCTTTGTATGTGTGGGGGGGGGTTGAGGGGTGAGACATCCTTGAGTGTCTTTGTTCTTCTTACCCCAATAAGTCTCTCCAATTGGTCTCACTACCAGAAACTGAGTACTGAGCCAATGAGTTTCACCAGCATTGAGCCTTCATGCCTAAGGGCTTGGCACTTAAGACCAGTTAAAAATGCAGTTCTGGAGGAGTCCATAGCAACTGACAATGAAACAGGAAGAAAGTTCCTTAGAAACAGAGTTCTAAGAGTCACTCTGGACACAGAACCAGATCTGTGTTGGTGTGTGATTGGTGGTGTAATTAATAAGCAGCTTGGCAACCTAAAACGTTAGCGTTTATTAGCTTGTAGTTCTAAAAAATTAGAAGCTCCAAATTGGTTTCACTTGGCAGAAATCAAGGTTCCTGAGGGGCTACACTCCTGCTCGAGGCTCTAAGGGAGCAACCATTTTTTTTTTTACTTCCTGCTTCCCCATAGGTCTATTCCTATAGGTCTATTACACTGCTACCTTCTCCAGAGGTCTACAACGCTCCTTGGTCCACACATCCTTAAAGCCCGTAGAGTAGCTTCTTCCGGTATCTGTCTGACTATCGCTCTTGTGCCTCTCTCCTGCTTCTGAAGAACTTTTATCATTCCGTTAGATCACCCATATAATCTAGGACAGTTTAAGGTCAACTGAATAGCAATTTTAATTCTACATGCAATTCACCCGTTCTCTGTAAATTAACTAACAACGTATCCCAGAAATTAGGTCACATGCATTTTTGGAAAGATAATGAAACCAATTATCACAACAATCCCATCACTGTCCCACAGTCTGTGCTCTGAAGACTTTAACAGATTGCCCAGCTTACCTGTAGCCTCAAAGGCAACCCCTGACCTCACAGAATAGAGAATCTCCACATACGTATTTATGCTTGTGTGTTTATATGTATGCGTGTATGTTTGCATTCCTGGATGTATTTGTGAATGTGAGTATATGTGTACATGAAGATGTGTTGTTGGCTGTTTTATTACTCTTTTGGGGGGCCTGACACCCAGCTCCCAAGTAAATCACACAGGGAGGCTTTTTCTTACTTGTAAATGCATGGCCTTAGCTTGTTGTATTTCTTGACAAGATTTTCTTAAATTGTCCTGTCTGTCTTTTGCCTCGGGGCTTTTATCTTTCTCTGTATACGTTTTTATACTTCTTTTCCATGTGTGGCTGTGTGGTGGGTGGGTAGCCCCTGGAGTCTTCCTCTCCCCTTTTCCCTTTCCTTCCTCTCTCAAATTTCTTCTCCCATTTATTCTCTCTGCTTACCAGCCCTGCCTATCCTTTCCTGCCAAGCTATTAGACATTCAACTGTTTATTAGACCAATCAGGTCTTTTAGGTAGGTAAAGTATCACAGTCTCACAGTCAAACAAATGAAACATAAAAGAATGCAACACACCTTTGCATCATTAGAATAAATCTTGCACAGCATAAACAAATGTAGCACACCTTAAAATAATCTAGAACAAGGGCACATGCTTCAATATGTGTATGTGTCTGAAGATTTAAGAACAACCTTGAGTATCATTCATTCCTTGGGTGCCTTCTACTTTTTAAAAGTATCTTATTGGCCAGGAACTTTACCAAGTAGATGAGGCTAGCTGGCCAATGAATTCCAGGCATACCTCTTCTCAGCTTTCTAATTCCCATTGCTCAGATTGCAAGTACGCATGACAGCCTTTAAAAAACATTGGTCTGGTAGGGCATGGTGCAATCTGCCTTTAATACCAGCCTTGGGAGGCAGAGGTCTCTTGAGCTCTGGGCCATTTTGGTCTACATATTCCAGGCCAGCTGGAGCTATATAGTGAGGTCTTATCTCAGAAATAAACAACCTTGTTTCTGAGGTTCAAACTCAGGTCATTGCTAGTGAGGAAAGTGCTTTTACTGAGTCATCTCCTGAGCCCCCTAGGAAAATTCCTTCCTTGCCTCTCATAGACTCCTGTGAGTGGTGGTCCATATGATTGTATATATCAACTTTAGATATTTCTGTCAACTTTATAAGCAACTAACTGTCATAGTGGCAGGTAGTTTGGTTGATATAAATATGTTTTATGCCAGGCAACGGTGGCACACACCTTTAATTCCAGCACTTGGGAGGCAGAGGCAGGCAGATCTACAGGCAGGCAATTTGAAGTCAGCCTGGTCTACAGAGTGAGTTCCAGGACAGCCAGGACTGTTATACAGAGAAACCCTGTCTCAAAAAAAAAACCCTAAATAAATAACAAGTAAATACATGCACACATATTGCAAACCAATTAAAAGACAACTTATAAAGCTCTCAGGTGCTACAGTCTCGTGTCCATAAACAGTGAGTGAAGTAGAATTTTGAATGCCATCCTGCTCTACTCAGGTCTCTCTCCTATACTTCTCTAGCTGGGGCTGCTTCTCCTTACAGCAACATGACTGAGTAGACACAAAACCGTGACAATTGCATTTGCTTTTCATCATCTACTAGGATATGGGAGTCAACGATCCAGTAACACAATTGTCGTGTCCCGATTGTATTTGAAATAATTGCCGATAAAATCAGAAAGAAAACTTCAGCAAATCTGAAAACAGATTACAGCAGAACTCCCTGGTACAATGGGCTGATATTAAATATTGTTTCAGTTTTGGAATAAGCCTTCATATTGAATCTAGGTGAACACTGGGTCACAGGATTTGGATTAAAGCCAGGTAGAGTCAAGGCTCCTGTCATTCACAGTGCTTGGATTCAGATCTGGGGGCTGATTTCCTCAAGCACCTTACCTGTCTCCAGTTCAAGTTTGCAGTCATTAAAGATTTGGATTCAGGGATGGAATTACTGGAAATGAGAGTCATCTCCCTGACAGTCCCACTTATGTGCTCATGTCGTCAGTCATAAGCCTTCTGTCTTGGGAAATGGATATTGCTCTCTTCATCTAAACAGTAAGAATTTGATTCTTTTTTTTTCCTTACGAGCTAGGCAAACACTCTACTGCAGAGTCACATTCCCAGTGAGCATTTGTTTCTGGCTTTAGTCCACAAAGACAGTAAGAGGCAAAGCTAGGAGCCACACAAGGATAGTTTGTTCTAAGGGCTTCATCTTCCCATTGGACCAACCTACCTTTTAATATGTTCTGAATGGTGGTAGTTATGTTGCATAAGCCAGGGTCAAAATACACCTATTTCACTTTCCACACTGATTAGTCTAATTATATTACTATCACTGTCCATTTTGTAAATGCGGCACAGAAAAAAAACCTGAATGCAATTAATATAAACAACTATTAAAACAGATGTGCATCTGCAAAGCTGGGTCAAATTGCATCTTTTAAGCAACTCATCTTGTTTTGCATGCAAAAACAACTCCATTAATTTGTTCACTCAACAAACATTTATTAGTGCCCTGATGCCAGTGAGCACCCTAATAGACCTTGGAGCATAGAGATGAATGTGATCTGATAACTATCTTGAGACCCACAGATCTTTGGAAATGGGAACATCAAGTAAACCCCATTTTGAGAAGACACCATCCTCTCCTCCCCACACTGGATCAAGACTCTCATCATATTTCTACCCCAAGTCACCCATAGTTCTTTTCCGTTCTGGGGCTGTGTTGAGTATCCTCATGCCACCCCGAGTCTCCCCTCTGTGATGTTGTTCTCATTTCTATGTCCTATAAGAGACCAACTATCCTTGAGTTCAGTACTGGCCTTTGTTTTTCTCAAGTTACTGGATACTGGCTGAGTGTTGTGCTTGAGAAACCTGAGGATGCATAAGAAGAAACCCTAGAGGCCTTGGAAGATGCCTGGCCAGCAAACTCTGAAGGTCTTTGGAGATGGCCACAGTTTGGAAGAGAGTGTAGAAGATCTCAGTGAAATATGACCTGGGTCTCTGGCATATGACTTGGGGAGAGCACTGTAGGGCTATCCAAAGCATGAAGTCTACACTGCCCTGGTCTAACCTAGTTTAAAGTATGCAGATCAAAGTCATTACCTTCAGATAAGGAAAGAAAGGCCATAAATATTAAATAAAATTTCTGAAGTCTTAAACTGAAAAAGAAGCAACCCTGGTTCCCAAGATTCTTAACTGTTACACTATACCAGCTTCCAAACATTGAGGCCCCTGTTCCCCATGGCTCACGGGCTCAATCTATGAAAAGGGTTCTGTTATTAGCCCTAATTTTAGGGAAGATGGAAACCAAAACTGAGGCTCGGAGATGATTGTTAAACCAGTTTGTAGCACGGTCACTGCAGAGTCACCTTGGTAGTAAGAAGCTGAGCACACTTCTGCTTACGCACTTGTGTATTTGGTGTGGTGGGGGCTGTTCAGACAACTAGTGCTCCAAGTTCCTCCAGGCTGCATGACCAGACATAAATAGTTGTCCTGAGAATTTCTGACCTTATTGTCCCCTGGAACACATGAAATCCCCAGGAGTCATGA